CTTTCTTTCTTTCTTTCTTTCTTTCTTTCTTTCTTTCTTTCTTTCTTCATGGTCTTGATTCTTTGACGAGCACTAATTGTTGCGGGGCTCATGAAGCTATGTCTCCTTACTGCTGAGTCCGTGAGAAAAGGACACAGGTGTTTAGTATCTTCTGTTCACTGACAATGGCCATGGGGAGTTTGTGCAGGCACAAGGAGCTCAGGGTAGAATACACCGAGTGTGCTGTTCAGAACAGAAAGGAGGGTCAAATGGACTAGACTCCGCCGGTGATCGAAGTGCCTCATTTAATAACGGGCCTGCTGCTTCTAGCTGTGGTCTCTAATGCACTGTACTTCTGAGAAGGACAAAAACCCTTCTTTTTCTACATGGTAAAGCTGGCGGACCAATTTAAGGCCATTGTTCCTTTCCTTACCTGTGTCTATGAAGCCAAGGACACAGAGAGTGACAGACACATTGACCTTGGCTACTGCGTATTCTTTTCTGACGGAAGAAAAAAACCCATCCAGAGCAAACTTGCTTGCAGAGTAGGGAGCAAACAGAGGCTGGGTTATTTTCCCTAAATGACAAAAGAAAGAAGTTTGTTAATAAGGATCCAGTTTGTCCTCAGACAGTGCAGGGCTTGACTTGGGGGGGCTGGCAACCCCTGAGGGGTCTCGTTCCTCACTGAGTCTCAGTTTCTCACTACACCCTAAATTATCCCATGGCATTACATTTCTGAAGGGAGAGAAATTAAGCTTTTGGAGGTGTGGTGGTTTGCATGAGAATACCCCCTCCCCATAGGCTCAGTTCTCAGTTGGTGAAATGCTTGAAAAGTTTAGGAGGTGTGGCCTTGTTGGAGTAGTGTTGTTGAAGGGGGTGGGCTTTGAGGTTTCAGAAGCCCACACCAGGCCCATTGCACCCCACCCCATCCAATCCTCAGGATTAGGGTAAAACTCTCAGCTGCTTCTCCAGCACCATGCCTGCCTGCTCCCACCATGATGATAATGGACTAACCATCTGAAACTGTGAGCAAACTCCCAATTTAATGCCTTTTAATTTAATTAATTAGTTAATTAATTAATTAATTTTGAGAGTTGCCTTAGTCACGGTGTCTCTTCACCCACAATAGAGCGGTAACTGAGACTGGACCAATAGCGTACAGGTTGAGCTGCGAGACAGACGTCACTGGAGAGAGATGCTAAGCAATGAGAGGCAGTGAGCTGGGCTTCAAGACAGCCATATGTTCTTACAGCTGCTGTCTCCAGTGCTGCTCCTAGTGGGCCAGCTCAGTGGCCTGTTTTCTCTCTGCGTGTGGGGATAGAACACCTGCGTTTCAGTTTTACACAAAACCCAAGCTTCCATCACATCAGTCAAGACCATTCCGGTCTTCTGAGGCGAACATAGACATAATAGGGTGAGTTCTCACATGCTCTGTGGGTAGAACAGATGTGAACTGGGAATGTGTGTACTTCTGAACACTGATATACAGATTGTGAAATCCTTGGCTGCTAGTTCTGGAGGCTGAGCCAGTTTAGGGTCCATTCCATTTTTGCGGACAGCTTCCCTTCTCTTGAACGTGTAACACTTTTTCCTTGTGTCCTGGAATCATTGATCAATGCATTGCAGAGTCCTCTCGAATTTTCTCTTTCCTCCAAAGAGGGTTAACTGTTCTGCTTAGTGAGCAGTTAACCCAGCTGAAATATATCTGGCCACTTGGTATCTGCATCACCGTGAACAATCAGCAATCCAGAGAAAGTGATATAGTACAGAGACACGGGATTACGTGATGTGTCTTCAAAAGTACTCATTTTTTCTTCTAAAATTATAACAGTCATAGACATCTGACAGAATGTGACATACAGCAGCCAGCAAAAGCGCTAGTCCTGAGTGACAGCAGGCAGATAGTTTGCTTCACTTACTGTCCTAGACCCTCTAACAAATGCGTGTTTCTACGGGTCGGGGCGCTGCTGCCGATCTCTCAGTATGCCTTTTTCATAGCAGTGGAAGCCAATTCCTATCTTGGGCTCACAGTTATCCAGAGTGAACTGGATGCCTCACAGTCCTCTCAGCCCGTTATTGCTGAGCCGCTCAGTTCTACACAGGGACAGGTAAGCAGAGGCAGAAGGAAGTCTCTGCCTTCCATTCTGTCTCCTTAGGTGTCTGAAGGTGGCTGTGATAGCCATGGCTCCTTGGACCGTGAGGTAGCAGGCACACATTGAAGAAGGCGGCGCTGAGTCACAGGGGAGACACGGTGGCCTGGAGCGACCTCACTAGCTCCGTACCACCAGCAGACAGCCCTGACTTAACTTTCTCATTTGCTTAGCCCACCATTGTTTTTAACTTTCAACACTTGAGAGCTGGACTCAAACCTTGTTCTGGATAGACCACGTGAGAGAAGAAACCTGACATCGCTGTGGCTCCACCCCTTTACCCAGACTGCTACAGGAATGGGCATGTGACCCAGTTTGGACCAATGAGACAAGGAACTTTTTGTTGAGCATCTCAGAAAGTTCTTTTCCCTCCTGGAAGCTTCTGAGAGTAGCGGTCCTGTTTGTCTCCCGATGGACACTTTGTGAATTCATATAGGGCTACAATTGATGCAGCTAGCTCATTGTCGGTTGAGTGGGAAACCATACGGTGAGGCAAGCAGAGCCAAGAGGATCATGGGACACAGCTTGAACTGGGTCATTTGTGAAGCCTGCCCTACATTGGAATTTCAATTCCGTCAATAATTTCAGTTAATGTTTAAGCCAAAAATAGATCCAAAATATTTATAGGAATAGTTTTTGATTAAAATATGAACTTTAGGGAACAGGTGACATGGGTATAAGTCCCAAGCATGGCATTTCCTAGCTACAGTTTGTGAATAATACCATCATGGAGCTGAAATAGCCACGTAATATGCTTAGCACAGACTCTGACTCCGAGAAGGCACTCGGAGAATGCTGTTGTCTTCAACAGAATTAGTATTCAAATCAACAAGACATGTATGAGTTATTCAGAATATCATGTTGGGACAAATAGCTAGTTACTCAGAGGAGTGGAAAAATGCCACCGTCATAAATTAATGCAAACCACATTAGAGAGTATATGTGGAAAGTAAGATAGCACAGTAAAGAGAAGCAGGAATTTTCCGTCTCAAGAGACACTTGACTCAGGAGAGCAGGTGCACTTGGTGGAAGGAAGGGCAGGAGGACCGACACAAACCTTGGAAAGCTGCCTGGTGCTGGAGACACGACCACCTTGCCCTTCTGTGTGCACATTCTTCAAAGAGACCCCTCTCCTAGTCTTAAAGGGCTGTCCAGCCACAGACAATGTGCACACCGGCTTAAACTCATGCCATGGCCCCTTTCAAGAAACTGAAATAAATGACAGAGAATTCTAATTACGGCCACTTGGTTTTGAGCTAAAAGGTCATATAAGGCTAGGACTGAGGGAGCCACTGTTCAGCCAGCAAGGGCCACTCTTGCAGGTGGCAGAGGTGTGGAGCAGAGCAGCTGCAGAGGCTGAGGTTAAATAGCTGCCAACTTTTTTTTAAGCCTGTATATCTCATTCTAAAGTTCAAAGGCTGAATAGTTCAAAGTTGAAAGGTCGGTGAAAACAAACGACTCAGATCTGTTTCTCGTGGGCCACTCTTACACTATGATGTTTCCTCTACTGTCACCTCTATTTTTCTTTTATGATTATGAACATTATGATTTTATTAAGATTGCCATTACTGGGCCCCTGTTCTTTATATCCACATTTTCCAGGAATCGTGTGTCAGAAACAGTTCCAACCCCGTGTCGTGGGGGGACGTTTTATTTGGTCTGATGTTCAAGTCCCAAACAGACAAACTTTATGACAACCAGTATTATTTTCAGTTTCAGATTGACAGGCAAAGTCACACACAGGCTGGTCACTCTTGGCCCTGTAGATTTGCTTCCCAGAGCACCATAACAAATCAGTTGCCACAAGCATGTATAACCACAGTATAACCCAGTGGGTCTCAACCTTCCTAATGCTGCAACCCTTGAATCAGTTCCTCATGCTGGGGTGACCCCAAACTTAACATTATTTTGTGGCTACTTCATGACTGTAATTTTGCTACTGATATGAATCATAATGTGAATATCTGATATGCTACCCCTGTGAAAGGGTTGTTGACCCACCATAGGTTGAAAACTGATGGTATAGTTCCTCCTCCCGCAGCTTGTTGGCCAAAGCCCAGGTGTGGACTCCAGCAGAGAGAGAGAGAGAGAGAGTCCTTTGTCTGGTCCAGCCCCTCACATAGATGCTCTTATAGATAGATACCTTGATCCTGGGTTTTTCACTTTCCTTGTGTGCCTCTTATTCCTCCCTCTTCTACGTCTCTACAAGACCTCTTGTAGGGCTCACTCAGAGAATCTGAGATGATTTCATCTGGATATCTGAGTTATATCTTTGAGGACCCTTGCTCAGGTAAGTTTTTGCTCATAAGTTTCAGGGGGCCATTTCTTCTGGGGGACATTCTCTTGTCACTTACTACAGCTCCCTTCATTGTAATGAGGATACAGACTGTGGCAACTGATGTGCTTATTCCTGGGTGTTATCGACTGAGCTATAGAAACAAGAAGCCATGCAGAGCCTGTTTTTGGTTTGTTCATGAAACTCCCTCCATCTCATGCCCCATCTTTTAACAAGCTGTAGGTTATATTCACGTGCCCAGAGTTGTATCTTAAGTGGTTTTCAGGAGAAAAGGAAGGAAGTGAGGAAAGAGAAGGCGAGGAGAAAGGAGAGAGGCAGGGAAGGGGTCAGAAGCGGCCCAGGTTTCCCTGAAGGAGTCACAGTGTCACAAACGGGATCTTGTTTTGCTTTTCTGTCCCGTGATGAAATGGACAGAAGCCACACGAAGGGGCAGGGGTGTGTTCTGGCTCCCAGTTAGGATTACAGTCTCTCATGTTAGGAAGTGTGACAGGAACTTGAGGGAGCTGGTCACATTGCATCCAGAGTCAAGAATCAGAGACAGAAGAACACAGGCATGCTGGTGCTGCAGTCCAGAATACTAGTCCTGCTAGGGAATGTTTCCCACCCACAGTCCACAGCAATACAGTCAATCCCACACAGACACGCTCGTCTCCCAGGTCATTCTAGATTCTGTCAAGACAGCAATTAACACTAACCATCCCATCTGGTTCATAAGGTGCCTTTAAATATAGAAAAAAATATTAAGCAAAGGTCAAGATTCGGTGAAAATTGCAGAACATTTATGACCATATGACAAAAAGCATGCATGGGGTTCCCCTCTGCTGTGGCTACTGTGGCTTCACCTGTCATTGACATCTATTATAAACACATTCTGCCTTTCGGGTTTCACGCCCCCCCCCCCGCTTTGATATTTGTTTAACATAAACAGTTCTCAAACTCAGTCTATGCACACATGGATCAGGTTGGAGCCAGTTAACCCCAGGGCTCAAGCCTTCAGTTCCCCTGGTTCTTGAATGTTCTGGAGGGAGGGTGGTGTTGGACATTCTGTAGGAAGTGAAGTTTGTTTGTGAACCATAGTTGTGGTGGGTTCTGAGGGTGGAGATGGGGGCAGGATAGCTATGGTTGCATAAG